TAAACTATGATAATCAACCAAGATGCAATTATCCTATGCAAGGTTCATTTAGAAAACTCATATCAAATTAAATTATTTAGTTTCAAGTATATTATTTAATATTTATGATCTCATGGATTTTGAGAAACTTGAAAACTAAGTAAGGAAGATGATGAACCAGCGAACTACAATGATTATGATTTCTAAATAAATAATCAATCAAACCATCGATTTTCTAAACCAAACAATTTAGCAATAAAACATTTATTTCTTTTAAGTCAAACGTGTTTCATCTATTGCATAGCATGATTCGATTTTCAGAATCAAAAATAATTACTTAAGTTTTGCTTTAAAACAGTACTTGATCAACGTGTACCCAATATGCAAAGACAAAGCATTTACTATAATTGAATTATCATGTTCCATATAATTATGTATAGACCTTTGATGTGAATTAAAACACTAAGGTGCAAAGTGTGTCGATCATATGAAATATATGCATATTAGAAACATGATTAAAAGAATATGATGTAATCTAAAATAGATCTCAACAATTTTCCACGATTTTAACAACATTTTCTAACAATCAATCAATTCACCAAAAAAATTTATATGATATGAATGTGCAAATGTCGTGATAAAGCATAAGATAATCTATTTGTGCAAAATTCGGTTTTAGAAATCTTTAACAAATAAAACAAAATAAATAAAAAATCAGCCGTGCACTGATAGGGCATATATTTATATAATCGCGCCGCCGTGCACAGATAGGGTATATATTTTTATCATGCTCTTATAATCTTGCCATGCATAGATAGGGCATAAATTATGATCTTATAATCTCGCCGCCGTGCATAGATAGGGCATAGATTATGATCTTATAATCTCGCCGTGCAAAAACGGATCATAAATAATGGAGATTATAAAATCGTGCAAATTTAGGGTTAAGACGATTTTTATGACAAAAATCATAAACCCTAAACATGGAAGAGGCATAGCCTTCCTTCTTCAGGGAAAGAATAACTTATCATCCCAGAATAAAATTTTAAACTATTTCTCACCTTTAATTGAGAGAGAAAAAAAAATTAAAACTATCTCTCACCTTTTCGGTGTGAGAACGGATCAAGAGACGATCGCGCTGATAACGTGTTGTAAATCAGTTATCGAGAGAAAGAGGAAATTGGTGTGTCTTATTCCAGGGATAATGAGAGATATATATAGTATTACAAAGACCTAGTCATCACCACAAGTTTCCGATGTGGGATAAATACAATAGTAGTTATAGGCCTTATAATGGGCATCTAATTAATAATTCATAACAAGAATGTTATACTCAAACTTCGACTTAATTTCCTATATCTTATTATATAAAGCTGAATCTCTTAACATGGACGTGATACATAGGCCAAATTCTTATTCACGAGATTATGACTCGTGTCTTGGTTGGTTAAGATCATAACATGTGTAAAAGTAATAATATAAAATTTTTAATTTAGGGAAATTATGTTTTCAAAAAAATAGAAACTAATAGAATGAAAAATCATACAAATATTATATACATTTATAATAAAGTAAATGTGGTAGATTGTTCATAATTAGGTAGATAGGAAAAGTGCACTATTTCGTTTCTATACACTTTTCAATATGGCGCTATTATCCCTATATACACTCCTCGTTTATCTATGATTATGCATGTTCTTGAGAAGATATAATGTCAACAATAATTAATATAAGAGAGATAAATGAATTTATAAGTTTATTTATTTACCACTTTGTGTTATACAGAGGAAGAAATGTTCTACAATATCAACGTTTAGGGTAAATTTCAAGGTAGAGAGCACACAGAAGAATCCAAATTTGCCGATTTTGGCAGTTCCTTCTTTGGCAGAACCAAATTCTGATTGCTTCTACAATCTCCTGTTTTCCTGTGATTCCCACTGCTAAATTTGTTGTAAGTCTCCATTTTGGTTGTAAATCCCAATTTGATTTGCTTAGACTATTCTATTTTAGATTCTGTATAGATGTCTAATCTCCAATTTCCGGAGAGGATGTTCACCGCTGTTCAAGAGCCGGTAGGGGAGAGGGTAAATTCATACCAAAAATCCAAATCTGTTCGGGCTATTCTTAATGCCTTTGATGAAGATGAAGTAAAGAGGCTCCGAGACTCGCAGCTGGGGAGGCTTTTTGCGACCATGGAGATGCCATCTTTCTCCGGGAGTTTTGGCTACTACATGCTTCCCCATCTATTGCGTGTTAAGAAGAAGCACGAATTGGGTTCGATTTGTTAGTGTCTAGCATTAAATTCAAGGATGAATTGGAGTTTTTGCAGAAGACAATCGCCTTGAAAGGGTTTTTTTTTATGCTATTCAGCTGGTAATGATGGAGGCCGTTCCAACACTGACTGAAGTTGTTCAAGCTCCGTTGGGGACTCTGACAGTGACGGTGAAGACGAGTCTGACATTCAGGACGGTGCAAGCGACCAAGAGGCAAGCCAGGGTCCAGATGATACATGTATCGCCGAAGGAGAACCAGCCCCTGGTGCTGTCAAGATGACACTTAGCCCCAATCATACATGCGAGCTCGATGAAGAAGAGAAGCTAATGTTTCCTTTAGTTTAATGTCTTTTTTAATTTTTGTAACATATAACAGCAATGATAATACGTTATCATAATTGTTAACAGCTAATCCTGAGGATTAGTGTTTTACCCATTTAGTTAGAAGATTAACTTTTGTGATATGCTCTAAAATTTATAGTAATTGCAGGTTGTTCATTCTATCATTCATAGTAACAGCGAATATGCCATCGTGGGCATGGATCTATGCTGGCCTGATGAAGAGGTCGATGAAACTGTAGAGATCGCTGTCAAACTTTGATACAAGCATGGACGAGGTGCGAGCTGAGGGTCAGGCCGGAGGACTAGGCGAGACCGGAAATCTCGACCAGATGGCCGAGCTAAGTAAGATGGAGGTTCAAGAAGGGAAGCTGGCCGAGGTGAACGACCCAAGTCCGGATTTGACCGAGCTCACTGGTCCAATTACACGGTCCCGAGCTAAGAAGCTGTCCATGGTCATTTGGAGGTTATACACCGAGCTGATGGCCAAGTTCACGGATGCCACACTAAGCAACCGAGCTGTAACACTCTTAGCCTATTCGGACGGTGTGGCCCCTTGATACTCTTTTTCCTTGCATCCGGGGTTGTCCCATTGGGTTTACCGGGTGGGGTTTTAATGAGGTTAAGGCCCACATCTTTTCCTTATCCGAATTAGTTAATAGTCGTTACAAGAAGATGAAAGATCATTCGAGCAAAAGAAGTCAAACGGTCATCCGAGGAAGCCGAGTGGTTCTTTATCGTATTCAATGTATCTATTTATTATTTCTGTCTTTTGCACTTCTTATGAGACTCTATATAAAGAGCCATAATCCCTTGTATTTTCTCATTCACCTTTTTATCAATAAAATTTCGAGATTTTCTCTTGTTCTCTTTGAGTTTCCTTTCTTAGGTGGTTAGCCTTGAAAGTTTATTTTGGTTTATCGGATTCAGTCCATAGGATTCGACGCAGCCTTCCTTACATCTTGTTTCGATTTCGTTCAACCTAGTTTTGGGGCAGCAGGATTTTCGAGACCAAGTCTCACGCCTGTTCATCCTTGACCCGCGAGATCAACACTTGGTGTTCTCACCCCCTTGTTCAGTTTCTGTTTCTCGCGAGTTGGGCCTAAGGACCTTCGAGGCAACCCCTCACCCCTTAGCATCTCTCCGATCAAACCGATCTGGCCAAGTTTATCAACCCCTACCAACGAGCAAGTGCAATTTCCTTGGGAGGATCGTATCAAGTGGTATCAGAGCCCACTTGCTTACTCGGTAATGTCTATCTATCTCTTTAACTTCCGCCTTTTCTCATCCCCTTTCTTCTTATTTCCGTTATAAAAAAAAAAAAAAAAAAAAAATCGAAAAGTCCAATTAAAAAAAAAAAAGGAAGTCAAAAAAAAAAAAAAAGAAGGAAATCGTATTCTTCTCTATCTATCTATTCTTATTCTTCTCCTTCAAAACATTTGATAAACCAAGGAAACCTAAAGGCAATCATCGTGAATCGATTAACTCCTTTAGAACCGGAAGAAAATCTTGTGTGGGTTTGTGAGATTAATAAGAGAGTGAGTGAATCAAAGAGAGAAACACTAGAAAGGATTTTTACTAACGTGTTTGTTGTTTTTGCGAAGTACGTGCATGTCATCTGACTACTCGTTGGACGATTTCGAGTTCTACACGTTCAAAGAAGGAAATCACATTCGCTGGTATACTCCCAGAGAAATGGAGGCCAAACTTAACCATATTACCGAAATGATGGAGCGTATGAGCCAAAAGATGGATCGGCTTGAAGTCCAGCCAGGGCAAGAAGAGGCCAACGATCAAAACCGTGAGGAGCCAATACATATCCGCCGAGACCGGAACTTCGAGCAGGAGATCGACAACCCATTCTACGCGGATAATCACTCATCTGGTAGCAGCCGAGTTAGGCCGCGAGGCAACCGTGGTGCACACCGAGGCCGAGCTGGAGTAGACCGCGACCGAGGCAATAATTTTCCAGGCTGAGACTTCCGACGTGAAGAAGGACGACCTCAGCGACCCATCCATGAACGAAGAGAAGCCGAGCAGGCTCGCGGACGTAACGATAATGATCTAGGAGGTATGAAGCTACGGATTCCACCTTTCTACGGAAAGAATGACCCAGATGCTTTCCTAGAATGGGAAAAGAAGGTGGACATCGTGTTCAACTGCCAGGATCTGTCGGAGAGGAAGAAGATCAACTTGGCGGCCTCCGAGTTCAATGGCTATGCCATAGACTGGTGGGACCAGATCATGATCAGCCGACATAGGAACGGTGAACGGCCAGTGGAAACGTGGGACGAGATGGCCACTCTTATGTGGCAACGGTTTGTACCTTTTCACTACCACCGGGAGTTACATACCAAGCTTAGGAGGCTTACGCAAGGAACTAAGTCCGTGGAGGACTACCATTAGGAGATGGAACGTTTAATGCTAAAGGCCGACGTATTCGAGCCAGAGGACGCGACCATGGCCAGATTTCTAAGTGGTCTGAATCGTGACTTGCAGGACCGAATGGAGCTACAGGAGTATAACGATATGGCCGAGATGCTACACAAGGCGATTTTAGTGGAGCAACAACTCAAACGGAAGGGAACTAATCGATTTACCCCTGGAGCCAGTTCGCGACCGAACTACCGAGACGACAAGGCAACCTACCCCTCACGATCTAACACTCAACCGAGGACGGACGCAAAACCGAACCAGAACACAGGCAAGACCGAGGCCAGCTCATCCAGGACGCGAGACATCGAGTGCTTCAAGTGTCGGGGAAAGGGACACTACGCCAATAAATGTCCGAATCAGATGGCTATGCTTATGCTCGACACCGGAGAGATCATATCCGATCACGAGGAGGAAACCGAGCTGGTCTACGATGAAGAAGAGACCGAGGAGCGAGCTGTGTCCGGAGAGTTACTTGTAGCTCGGCGTGTTCTCATAGCACAAGAACGGACCAAGGAGGAAGACCAGAGGAAAAATTTGTTCCACACCCGGTGCCTGGTCCAAGGAAAGGTGTGCAGCCTGATTATTGACGGAGGGAGCTGCACCAACGTGGCTAGCACTAGTATGGTTGACAAGTTGGGATTGGAAACCCGTAAACACCCTCATCCTTACAACCTACGGTGGCTTAACAACCAGAGGCAACTCAAGGTCACCAAGCAGGTCACCGTGCCAATCATCATTGGACGATATGAGGACGAGGTCATTTGTGACGTTCTACCTATGGAGGCCGGTCATCTACTTCTAGGACGGCCATGGCAGTTCGACAAGAAGGCGATCCATAATGGGTTCTCAAACAGGCATTCCTTTGAGCACCAAGGTCGCAAGATCGTCTTAGCACCCTTGTCACCACATGAAGTCTATCTCGATCAAGTTAAGATAGAGCAGAACTCTAAGGGTAAAGGTATTATGAGCGAATCCCAAAACACTTCACTTCAAAAGAGAGAGTCTGAGAAAAACCTAGAAATGGCCTATGAGGGAAATCCCGTGAGCAAATAATCTTTTCTTGTGAGGCCTAGCGAGGTGAAATATGCCTTAGCCACAAAGCAACCTTTTATCCTTCTCATTTTTAAAGAAGCTTTGGCTAGCCATACTGACCCTGAGCCGGTTTTACCGAGCAGAATCTCTCATGTTTTGCAGGACTTTGCTGATGTCTTCCCGGAAGACGACCCAGGTGGCTTACCACCCCTTCGAGGAATTGAGCACCAGATCGACTTCGTGCCCGGAGCTACCCTTCCTAACCGACCCGCCTACCGTACTAATCCAGTCGAAACCAAGGAGCTTCAAAGACAGGTGGATGAACTTCTGGCCAAGGGTTACATTCGCGAGAGCATGAGTCCATGTGCCGTACCGGTCTTACTCGTGCCCAAGAAGGATGAAACTTGGAGGATGTGTGTTGACTGCCGAGCCATCAACAACATAACGGTTAAGTATCGCCATCCTATACCTAGGCTAGACGATATGTTAGAATAGCTTCATGGGGCATGCATATTTTCTAAGGTTGATTTAAAAAGTGGCTATCACCAGATTAGGATGAAGGAAGGTGATGAATGGAAAACGGCTTTTAAAACTAAGCATGGTCTTTACGAGTGGCTTGTTATGCCTTTTGGACTCACTAATGCACCTAGCACATTCATGCGTTTGATGAATCATGTTCTTAGGTCGTTCATAGGTGTTTTCGTGGTAGTTTACTTTGATGACATCTTAATTTATAGCAAGACCCTGGATGAACATGTGATGCATTTGAGAAAGGTGTTAGATGTGCTTAGACGTGAACGCCTCTTCGGAAACCTCAAGAAGTGTACTTTTTGTGCGGATCACGTTGTCTTTTTAGGTTTTGTTGTGAGTTCGCAGGGAATCCAGGTCGATGAAGAGAAGATCAAGGCGATCCAGGATTGGCCGAGCCCAAAGACTATTGGAGAAGTCCGGAGCTTCCATGGGCTAGCTGGCTTCTATCGTCGCTTTGTCCAAAACTTCAGCACGATAGCCGCGCCTTTGACCGAGATCATTAAAAAGGAGGTCGGGTTTAAGTGGGAGCAACAGCAGGAGGAAGCCTTTCAGCTCTTGAAACATAAGCTAACCCATGCGCCCTTATTGGTGTTACCTGACTTTCTCAAGACCTTTGAGATCGAGTGCGACGCCTCAGGAGTTGGAATTGGAGCCGTGCTGATGCAAGAGAAGAAACCCGTGGATTTCTTCAGTGAGAAGCTAGGAGGAGCAACCTTGAACTACCCAACCTACGATAAAGAATTGTATGCGTTGGTCCGAGCCCTACAAACCTGGCAGCACTACTTGTGGCCAAAAGAGTTTGTCATTCATACGGACCACCAGTCGCTCAAACACTTAAAGGGCCAACAGAAGCTTAACAAGAGGCATGCCAAATAGATGGAATTCATCGAGACCTTTCCATACGTCATTCAGTACAAGCAGGGTAAAGAGAACGTGGTGGCCGATGCTTTGTCTCGACGACATGCCTTGATTTCCACTTTGGATGCGAAGGTGCTGGGGTTTGAACTAATGAAGGATGCCTACCTCACTGATCCAGACTTCCAGGACGCCTACCGAGCCAGTTCCAAATTTGCCCATGGCAAATACTACCAAAGTGATGGTTATCTTTTCTATGAAAATCGGTTATGCATACCTAACACTTCTCTTCGTGATTTAATTGTTAGGGAAGCACATGGAGGAGGACTGATGGGGCACTTCGGAGTAGCTAAGACTCTAAGTGTGGTGCAAGACCACTTCTTCTGGCCGCACCTAAGACGCGATGTGGAGCGAATTTGTAGCCGTTGTACGATCTGCAAGATGGCCAAAACCCGAAGCCAAGGCCCAGGTATGTACACTCCCCTTCCGATCCCTAGTGAGCCTTGGACCGACATATCCATGGACTTTGTGTTAGGATTGCCACGCACTAGAAGAGGTAAAGATTCGGTCTTTGTGGTTGTAGATAGATTTTCTAAGATGGCTCATTTCATTCCATGCCATAAGACCGATGATGCATCAAATGTGGCTGACCTGTTCTTTAGGGAAATAGTCCGATTGCATGGGGTTCCTAGAACCATTGTTTTAGATCGGGACACCAAATTCCTTAGTTATTTTTGGAAAACCCTATGGTCAAAACTTGGAACTAAACTTTGTTTTTCAACTACTTGTCACCCTCAAACTGATGGACAAACTGAAGTAGTTAATCGAACTTTGTCAGCTTTGCTGCGATCCGTGATTAAAAAGAATCTTAGAACTTGGGAAGATTGCTTGCCACACGTTGAATTTGCTTATAATCATTCGGTTCATTCAACTACAATGTTTTCTCCTTTTCAACTTGTGTATGGGTTTAATCCGCTTACCCCACTTGATCTAACCCCTTTGCCTATAAGTGAAAGACTTAATCTAGATGGCAAGAAAAAGGCCGAACTGGTCAAACAGATGCACGAGAAAGCCAAGGAGAACATTCAAAGGAAAACCGAGCAATTTCAAAAAAAAGCAAACAAAGGGAGAAGCAAAAGAACGTTCGAGCCCGGCGACCAAGTTTGGATTTATCTACGGAAGGAAAGATTTCCTGAGGAACGGAAATCCAAGCTGTTACCTCGAGTCGATGGACCATTCACGGTCTTGAACCGCATCAATGACAATGCCTACCAGATCGACCTCCGAGGTAAGTATACGGTCAGTTCAAGCTTTAATATTTCTGACTTAGTTCCCTTTCTTCCAGATGGACCAGACTTGAGGACAAGTCCTTTTCAAGAGGGGGGGGAATGATACGAGCATGGACGAGGTGCGAGCTGAGGGTCAGGCCGGAGGACTAGGCGAGACCGGAAATCTCGACCAGATGGCCGAGCTAAGTAAGATGGAGGTTCAAGAAGGGAAGCTGGCCGAGGTGAACGACCCAAGTCCGGATTTGACCAAGCTCACTGGTCCAATTACACGGTCCCGAGCTAAGAAGCTGTCCATGGTCATTTGGAGGTTATACACCGAGCTGATGGCCAAGTTCACGGATGCCACACTAAGCAACCGAGCTGTAACACTCTTAGCCTATTCGGACGGTGTGGCCCCTTGATACTCTTTTTCCTTGCATCCGGGTTTGTCCCATTGGGTTACCGGGTGGGGTTTTAATGATGTTAAGGCCCACATCTTTTCCTTATCCGAATTAGTTAATAGTCGTTACAAGAAGATGAAAGATCATTCACGCAAAAGAAGTCAAACGGTCATCCGAGGAAGCCGAGTGGTTCTTTATCGTATTCAATGTATCTATTTATTATTTCTGTCTTTTGCACTTCTTATGAGACTCTATATAAAGAGCCATAATCCCTTGTATTTTCTCATTCACCTTTTTATCAATAAAATTTCGAGATTTTCTCTTGTTTACTTTGAGTTTCCTTTCTTCGGTGGTTAGCCTTGAAAGTTTATTTTGGTTTATCGGATTCAGTCCATAGGATTCGACGCAGCCTTCCTTACATCTTGTTTCGATTTTGTTCAACCTAGTTTTGGGGCAGCAGGATTTTCGAGATCAAGTCTCACGCCTGTTCATCCTTGACCCGCGAGATCAACACTTGGTGTTCTCACCCCCTTGTTCAGTTTCTGTTTCTCGCGAGTTGGGCCTAAGGACCTTCGAGGCAACCCCTCACCCCTTAGCATCTCTCCGATCAAACCGATCTGGCCAAGTTTATCAACCCCTACCAACGAGCAAGTGCAATTTCCTTGGGAGGATCGTATCAAACTTATTGGAGAAGGTTTTTGATTTACCAAGTACATGTTTACCAGTGGTTTGACCTCTGCTGACTTGGTCCGTCTGTGCAGCGATAAGGCTCAAAAAGAGAAAGAAATCAAAGATAAGAAGAAGAAAGATAAATCTGCAGATTGTTCGTCAACCTCTACCCATATTGATCCAGAGAATATTGCTGAGCTCGTTGCTGACAAATTGAAAGTTGAGTTGCAGAGTTTCAATAACCGGTTAAGTGATCTTGAAGCTGCATTTCTCTTGCAGTATGGGAAGATTACAGAAGCTATTACTGCCACTTTGAAGTCATTGCAGGAATCTGTCATTGCAAGCATATCAAATTCTGTTCGCCATATACACGAGCCAGAGGTGTATGGACACTTCCCTCGAGGAGTTAATGAACCTCATATTGTAACGCGGCCTTCTCCCTCAAACCTCCAGTAAGCTGTTGTGTCAGATGTTGACAAGCAGGCTCCCTCGAAATCGCCAGGTAACACTGTACTTTCACAACCACTAAGCCTGCCGACACTGAGCCTGACTATTTAAACGACAATGTTGCAGAAAATGAGGAACAACTCCCTCGTAAAAGAAAAAGATTGAAGACCTCCTCAGTTGTTTATAAGAAATTTCATTGTGGTTTAAATCAGACAAATGCATTGAAGGCGATTTGCAATGCTCTGTGATCCAAAAATGAACTATGGTGCTCGTTTCATGGAACTGAAAGCAAAGCTCATTCACGATTGGTAATAGTACACTAAATTTAAATTTACATACTATCTTTATTTGTATATTGTTACTGAAAGTGTTAGATGTCACACATGTATCTAACACTTACACAATTTTATACCGTAATCGCTCTATGGAGATTTATGAGGGTGCAACTGTTGGTACCAAAGATGTTATTGGCATTGGCAAGAGGATACAAGTGCTTCCTCCTAAGGTACATTCCTGTTTTTTCTTTTGACCTCTATTCATTATGATTTCGTATATGTTTTCAGGTGGTGGACGCCTTAATGTATTATATCTGCCATATTTCCAGCCCCCAAATGTACCTGATGAACTACACAAAGATAGAGTTCTTCGACACCATACTTCCTGTCCTCATAAAGAATCACTATGCCAAATTTTTGAAGACTGCTGTTAAAGACTGTTCGAAGTTTAAGTTCCAAACTTCGTTGATGTCTTACTTCGAACCTGAAAACCCTTGCCACCCACTTCCGGAGGTTATGTATTTCACTTTCAATTTTGACAAACGACACTAGGTTGGGGTCTGTGTAAACATTCCTTCCAGATCTATCTTGGTGCTTGCATGCAATGTTGCTTTTCGATCGGACAATTCTCTGAAAAGAGACTTCGCCAGTATTTGCAATATGTTCCCTTTCCTCGTTCGAGCTGCAAGCACAAAGGCGTTGCGTGACGAGAAACCGTATTCCTTGGAAAGAGTTCTCGGCATTCCGCAGAATAAGATTAACTCGGATTCTGCTGTCACGGCGATGCTGCTATTCCAGGCTCATGCCAATGCTGGTTTGGAAGGTTGTAGAACCATTACCTCCAAGGTGAAGGCTTTTGAGTCTCATAAGTTAGCTGTTGTGTTTTACGATGAGTTTGGGCATGATGGTCAACCTTTATAATTCTCGACATCCACCACTATCACTTTGCGCATGTACTTGAACCCTTGAACACAAGCACCAACGGCAAAGAAAAGATATTTGAACCGTTTCCCCATTCCTTCTTCTATCTCTGTCTCAAGGTTGATCAT